AGCAGGCCATGGCAAAATCCATTTGCTTCTGGGACACAGAGCACTGAAGCCTCCCCCCATAGCATAGCAGGCACAACAGTACCTAGGGCAGATGCTAAGTAAAAATCTTGGGAGAAAAAAGGAGGAGGCGTTCATCCTCGGAGCACAGAGCACTTTCTTCTTTGCAGGACCTGAAGGAAAATGCAGGAGAAGAAACCGACCTACCAGCTAATAAAGAGGTGAAGCATGGTGCAGACAAGCTGAACAAGTGGGCAACAGCAGCCCATGTAGTTCTTCATCCCTCCAGAGGATGTCATCGTAGAGCCACCAAAAACAGTGAGCATTGTGACCCAAATCCAGAGACAGCGAGAATTAATGCCTAATGTCAGGATGCTCTTCAGACAGTCACCCCAAACTTTCAGATTTACTTTCGCAGAAGGAACTAGTTTTCCCAAGAATAGAGTGCCCGTTCTGGGAAGGTAGGAGGAGCAGTGAAACTCATCGTGATTTGAGAGATATGCAACAGGTTAACCTGGAAAACAAATGGGATATGTTCTAGATGACTAGACTGAGCAAAAGCATGGGGTGCTCACGCGCTCTACCGACTTGCCTGCTTTCCACATCTTCTTGGTGTCCGTGGGCATGGGTGGGCTGAGTATGTGTTCATGCACAGAGAGGACCAGCAAAGGAAAGAATGCCTGCAGAGACTGTTGGATTAGCGGACCCGCTTGGGGAGCGCACAGACAGCAGGAACAGGCTGCCTTCTGCAGCCATTGAACAAATGCTCCCTGGAAAGAGCTGAGCAGGGGCAGGGGGAGGTCTACGTGTTTGTTCTTGCCTATTCATGCATTTCTGTGGTTTGTGTCACAAAAAGGCAGTCTTTGGTTTTGCGCATTTTTGTCCCAGCAGCAAATTACAGCCAAAAGGAAGAAGCATTAATAACGCTCACAGCACATTTCTGTAATATTTTCTATCCCTAGTGATGTGTTTTAATTTTGAGAATACAATGCTATACTGGTTTCTCTACTGAACTAACACTAGCCTCTGCTGCCTTCGCTGCTGCATATGAGACACACGGACACACGTGCCTTCCCCTACAAGCCTCTGTGTAAGAAGACAGGGAAGGATCAGGAGTGGAAATGCTGTATGAATGGTACACAGCATTAAGATAGGCTCTCTAGGCTACCGTGCAGTGCTTGAAACTACCACAGATTAAAGTTCTGCTGCTGCAACCCGCATCACATGCCTATTCCCATGTCTCAAGTGTATACATGACCCGATGACTGCAATACTTAGCTTGTCAAAGTGCTTTGAGATCCTAAGAGAAAAGTATCTACCTAACAGGAATTCTGTAGTTACTGACAGTATCCAGAAATCTGGAAACCGGGCTGTGTAGCTCAGCCACACAGAGGCTAACCCTTTACCAAATATGGTGGGTTTAAATACAGGCAAGCTAAACAGCACCTCTGAGCTTTACTATAACAGACAGGCCTTTTAGCTAATGTTTCTCTGCATGCACCACGCCAGCTTTTCCATTAGAGCGTATCAACTAGAACCAAGTCTTCATCTCTTCCCAAGTGTGATTTAATAAGTCCAAATCCAGGAGCTTACCAAGACCATGTCCAGTGCTAAAGAATCACTTGCTGTCATCCATGCAAGCTGTATCTTTAATCTCCTCTCCTTTGCTACCATTTGTTCTGGGGGTGGGTCTATAAGCATAGATTAAATTTCCTGCCAACCCACTTTCTCATTCAGCCAAGTTATTGGAGAAGTGGGGAGAAGGAGGAAATCAGAAACAACTCACTAGCAGAAAATGGTATTAGAAAGGTTTAGTAAGAGACTGGTCTTATCCATGCAGTCTGTCCCATTCCAACATGCAAGCACTGCTCCCTAGAGCAAGGGAGTCTCTACCATGCAAAAAGAAAAACAGCTTTCATTAGCAGTCACTGACTACAGAAACTCACCAAAGAAAACATGCTGGATCCTCAGAGCCAGAAAATCCCAAGGCTACCAACTTTCTGCCCCATACTCCATGCCCAAAGCTCTCAGTGCATATTATCTCCTGCTCCCCACATTGCATGGCTGTGCAGGTAACCCAACGAAACCTTTCCCTGCACTGCCAGCCAGCCAGGAACAGGAGCTCTGGGCTAGTGCCAGGCTCAGGAAACATGTGCTCCCCTCACTGGGGAGGTCACAGAGCTCATATTCAGTGTAACATCCTCCCTGCACTTGCTACACGCAGAGGCAGGTGCGGAGAAAGAAGTGTGAAAATAGAACCATAGCCTTTGCTTTCCCTGCTTTCAAAGCCTGCTTGTCCCTAATGTTCACCTATTTCCCATCTGAGGAGAAACACGGCTCAGTGACGCTGAATTCCCTTCCTCAGCCCCCATATTCCTGCTTCTCATGAGCACATCTTGCCTTATTCACAGAAGCAGAGCTGCAACAAAGTTCAGACACGGGGAACCCCTGCTCTGCAGGCATCAGGTCAAGCTGCAGGATTGCAGTGGCAGTGAAAGCAGACGGCAACAGGAGTTTTTCCTCAGCAGTAGGAAAAAGCACAGGGAGAAGGTCAGTTCAGCCATGAAGCTATCTCACAATAGCTCTGCTCCAGACCTCCCTCTAATAGAGGCTGTCTGAAATCAATAGGAAGGCCTACTGGGTTGGTTCTGAAGACAAGGCATGCAAGAGATCTTTCTCCATTTTGTCACCCCCTCTCTGTCTTAGAAATGTTCAAGAGCCTTTTAACAGAATCTGTTGAACCATTTTGGGTGAACTTGTTGGTGCACACGGGCACAGACTCTTCCACTCACTCATGAACCAGCAATGCCACAGCTAAGAAGACCTCAATTAAATTGCTGACTTAGGCACTTGCATACCCAGTCTAGAGGGTGTTGGGATGCAAAATGTTGCCTCCAAGAGAAATACAGTTACTTCCAAAAAATCTATTTCTGTGTTACAAGAAAATCAGAAATTTATTATGAAAACTCCATCTTTTTTTGTGGGTGGGCTGGGAGGGGAGTGTCAAAACATTTCAACTTGGTTTCCTCTCCCCAGTATCAAATGGATCACACAGCTACCTGGTCCTTGCTGTCTTCTGAGGTGCTCTTGAAGAGGACCTTAATCATGACATAAGGAGGGTTGGTCTCCTGAGCACCCAGATCCACATAGGGAAGCCGATCAGGACACTGTCTGGCAGACTGGGTTCTACTGGAAACTTGTGTATGTTTTGGCTAGAGTTTGTCAAAGTGGATTTGTTTGGGTAACTTCCTTTTTTCTTTCTTTTTTTTTTTAATTCAGATAAATCAGCAGAACACAGTCCAAAAGTTGTGTAAGTTTAAAAACCCCTGGCAATCTGCAGACCAGGTTTCCTAAACTTTTGAAAGTGGGCTCTCCTCTTCATCAACCTTCAAAAAGAGTTACTAAGAAGTCTATTCACTGCTAAAGCGCAAGGCATCCTCTCATGGTCATTTCCCTGTTGCAGCACCCAAATGCCCAGGTTAATCCTTGTGTTAGAATATACTATACATTTCCTTCGGATACTCTCTGATGGGAGGTGATACAAGTGACAGTACCAGCATTTAAAATAACATCCCTGGCCACCTCCTGTGGTGGGCAATCCCTTCCACATAGCTGTGGTTAATGGCTCTCAGCAAACTCGGGCATTTCCGTAGTGACTTCCACTTACAACTCTAATAGTTTGAACCTTTTTTTTTTTTTTTAATGAAAACAAACACTCTGGAGCACTATCAAGATATCTAACTAGTATTATTTTGAGCTAGATACTTACATTACAGCAATGTCTCACTAGGTACAATTTACAGGCTAAAACTCCAGCATACTAGGTAGTGCACAAAAATAGTAAACTATTTACATCCCTGTATCTTGGGGAATACTGCTCTAGATCAATAGATGAAGATGTGCAGAAGAATCACCTAAGGCGCAAGCCAGTGCCAAGGAATGGATGTATAGCAGAATAATGACAGGGCTATCATGGGAATAAAATGCAAAGATGTTACATTAATGTCACATCAAGGTTGCACAATCAAAAGATGAAGAATGCAAACATTAAGATTCCTACAGCAACCTTTTCAAAATGGCAATGCAGCCATCTCACATACTCTAAGACCTATAGCTAAAAACACATTCACAAGTTAAGTGTTGAAAACAAATACCAGGGAATGAGAACGCAAGGCATGTGCAGCATGGCTGAATTAGGACTGCTGTTAGATCTCTAGGTTTCTGTTTTTAATGATCATTCTCAGTATATCTGGGTTATTTTAGAGGAAAAAAGGAGGGAACATGAAACAGAGAGAGAAAAACGCAGAATCTTTGGCAAAACATCAGACTGGCTTAACTAATAATAGCCTTCTGCTAGCAGCCCTTTATATGGACTGAGGTGTGTGTTTCCTTGTCCCCCCATGTCCTGAAAGTGTGAATGCTCAAACGCTTACATCTTCCATACACTGTTTATAATGTTCAAGACTATGTTAAATTCCTGACAGTTTCACCCATCATATAAGATACATATGCAAAAGCCCAAGAAAGTCAGTGAGGGCCTTCCTGGTGCCTGGCTTAGACTTTGATCGGAGTCTTATCCAATGAATCACTGCTCAGTGAGATGACTAAGAACACGCCATGTTTCAAATCAGAAAATTAATACATGAGAAAAGGTAGGCAAGTTTTAAAAATGTTTTCCCACATCACTCAAAACAGCACACAGGATTTCCCCCAAAATGACAGGACAATAAAACTCACCTTTGTGTAGAGAACCAAAGAGCTTACAAGCTTGGAAATTGTACCTTCAAGGGCAATGCATCAGACTGTTATGAATGAGCAAAATAAGGCTGCAGTGCTAGGGCTCATCACCAAACCGGCTAGTCTAATAACAGGGAGGCTTTGGTTGCATGGGCACTGCTTACTGCCACTCATATCAAGGATGAGCACCACCAGCCAAATTCCTTGTAGCTACAGCACTAGGTGGAGAAAAAAAAAAGTAGCAGCAGGCAGTAAAAAGGCCTTTTTATATGAATAAAGTTTTATTGAATTGTAGACAATTAGAAAGAACAAAGAAAGAGGAGCGAACAGTCTCACCGAGGGTAAGAACCAGAAGAGCTTTTCCAGGTAGAGAGTAGTGGGCCTGCTGAGGGCAGTGCTCCTGTAAATGTCACACAGGGGTGGTTACAAAAGCAGAGAGAACGCATCCCGGCTTTTCTTTGATTTTTTTTTCCCTCCACACATTACAGTTTCAAAAGCGAATTTTATTCCCCACCCCCACCCCACCATCAGTCCTACCACCCAGCAGCACAGAGAGCAGACAGACAGGAAATAGGACTGTTCCAGTGAAATGTGTGTACACACACTAAGCAATCACCCGTCTGCACCGCTGCAGGGGGTTTGCACCCATTCTGGTCAGAGGTGTGTAGGAGGGCAGAGGAAGGGAGGCTGGATTTTTTTTATTACTATTATTTTAAGCAAAGAAGGCACAAAATCTCAGCCAAGCTTCAAACTTTGTGCAGCCTAGGAGCCCCCAACCTCCCCGAAAGCCTATGTGTCCATGTGGGAACCCAGCCCTCACCCCTGCCTCTTCCTTGGACCCTGTGCTTGCGCTTGAAGGCTACAGCTCAGGCAGAAGGTCCTGCCCAAAGTTTGTGCACTGGTAGAGAAAGTAAAGCTGTGCCGGGACAAGAAAAAGGGGAACAAGGAAGAATCTGTTGGCTCAAACAGACCCTTTTTCCAATATGAGGGCTATGGAGAGTAGTCTGTGATCCCTGACACTGCTTTTCCAAGAGCACATTTGAGAGGTCTCTGGTGCTTTTGGAGGTGACCAGTGCTTTAGCGTGTGTAAGGGTTAGCGTTATGCAGGAGGGCAGGCATACCCATCCAGGCATGGTTGCTTGGACCCAGGGCTCTCTAAGAGGGTAAGTGCCAGCCCCTCAGTCCAGCCCTCCAGTGGCACCAGGCCCTTTGAGCTGTTTCAACCCTTGGCTTTGATTAAGGCTATTTAGTTGCAATAGAAAAAGTAAAAGAATAGATGCCAGCAACAACCACCTCCCTGGCTGTGAGGTGATGGCAGAGCCACCAGCAGGTGCCACGGGTACCTGGCCCTGGGACACTGTGGGAAGCAGTGGAGGCAGAAAGAGAGTGTGTGGGCTCCCATGGAGTTACCTCCTCCGTTAAGCCCCCATTTTTACTCCTTCTCAGCAAAGAAATTTGGAAGTAAGTCCTGCCAACCCCAGCATCTGGGAAGGGCATGTGTGTGTGGGAAAGAGGGAACAAAAACCGTGGTCCTCAGTGTGAGGGCCCCAAGCATGAAACATGCCCTGCCATGCAGGCCAGCCCTAGATAGCCCAGCAAGGAAAACCTGCCATGCGGTCACCAAAGCTTTGGAGTTTGAAGCCACTTGCCCAGAATCAGACGAGTCAGGAGCAGCAGATGTCTCTGGCCAGCCGTTCAGGACCTGCCTGCCGCTTTCCCACCCCACCGTGCTCCTCTCTGCCTCTGAAAAACCCCAGCAACAAAAAAATGCCACAAGTCCTAGAGCAGCCGCAGGAGCAATGCACCCTCATACTGCACAGAGCTTTGCAGGGAAAGATGCCCAGAGGCACCTAGAACTAGTGCAGAAAAAACATCTAGTTTAACAAGGATGTGTGCGTGTGCGTGTGCGTGTGCGTGTGTGTGTGTGTTGAAGGGTGGAGGGGAAGAACTGCAAAAATTAAATAAAGAAAAACACACTCTGGCCCATGTCCTTGCCCAGCCTTCCCCGCCTCGGCCTGGCTGGTGGTTTTGCTTCTGCCTCACCCCTCCAGCCTGGGCCCCCCTCAGCCTTTGTCTCCTCATGCCTGTCTCTGTCCCACTGCCCTCCCTCATCCAGCAGCAGGGATAGGGCTGTGGGGAAGGGGCTGTGGTCGCCACGGCTGATGCATACTCCTCTTGAGTGCCCCTTCCCCACTCAACCCTTTTCTGCCTTTTCCAGAGACGCTTGTCCCTCCCACTCCAACAGTCTGTTGTCCTCTTGAAAATAAAACAGCAACAACAACAGAAAAAAATATATATCCTCAAACCTCCCTGAAAGACCCAAATGAACAGAAATAACCCCCAACAAAAACCAACCAACTGAAAAAAAACAGATTCCCCAGAGATTAGGGCCGAGCGTGCATCCCTGCTGGGGCCCAGCAGTCAGGGTGAGCACAGCAATGCCCCTAGAACCATTCTCCTGTGGCCTTGGCACATCTGTGAGATCCACCAGCATGGAAGAGTCCCCAAAACCTGAGGGGGAAGAGGCAAGGCCAGGGCTGTCCCACCAGCCAGCAACAGTCTCGGGAGGGGGGAGGGCAGTGGGGTGAGGCGCGTCTCCCCCCATCTTACTGCATTTTTCAGGAAGGAGGAGGGTCTCTTGGCCATGTCTTCACCCCACCTGGTACAAGAAGCTTCTTGTTTTGCTTTAGCCTGCCCATGCACCCTACACAAGGGAACCGGCCCGGCTCTGGGCAGGCACCATGACAGGAACAGCCCCTATCCGCTCCAGCGTTGCCTGGCTCACGGCATACGAGCGCGTGTGCTGTGGCCTCTGCTTCCTGCTAACTGAGCCATTGCTCCGCACCACCTCCTGAGGGGACGGTGCTGTGTTGGCCGTCACCACCAGCGTCTTAGGGGGAGCCGGGGACGGGTGGCCTCCGTTCGCATAGATGGGGCGGGTGCTCATGCTCCCCGAGCGGGAGAAGGGGGGCTGGCGCACATCGTTGTTGTTGCTGAAGCGAGTGAAGGAGTCTGTGGCATGGTTGGCTTTGGGGTCATTCCAGTAACGGCTGTTGTAGGTGTTGGAGGAGGTGAGGGTGTCGTTTTCTGACGAGGATGCGTCGGCGTGGAATGTTTTCGTGGTAGAGGAGCACTTGGGTGGCAGGTCGTCCTCCCTAGGCAAGGAGAGGGCATGAAGGGGCAGTGAGGATGCTGCTCCATTTTCACAGTGCCCCTCCTCACTGGGAGCAATGCTTTCAATTTAAGGTGAAGGACAGCACCAACAATAGCCAGCGTTGTTTCTTGGCCTGTTCACTCATTCCTCTTTGCAGGACCCATCTCTGTGCACATTAACTGCTCCACATGCCTACCACTGAGGCAAGCAACCCGCGCTTGTGTTTAGGGGGCAAAAGCAATGGGTGTCACACAACCACAATATTACATGGTCAATACAACTGTACCTGTAGCAACCAATGAAGCTAATGCTCAGGGAAGGTATGAGAAGCTACCAAAAGGACTGTGGCTGTGCGTTACTGTGGCTGTAACACCGGAGAAGGTCACACCTGTTTCCCCAGAGCTCTTCATCTATCACTACCCAGTACTTTGGATCAGGATCCCTGCTATGTGTGGAGTCACTCTCCTATGGAGCTAATAGCTTCAGGCCAAAGCCCACAATAAAGGCAATACTGAAAACAAAATCAGTCGTTACCACTCTCCATTTGCTCTTGCCCTTTTCTGGACAGATACAGACACCTTCCCCTGCCCCAGTGAACACATCCAGGATTAGCAAGAGGGGACTCTCACTTGCCTTCCTGCCAGCCATTGCTTTTGCTGAGAGATAAGAGGTTTCCGGCCACCAGCTTTCCTTAATTCCTACCTTATCTCATTGGGAATTTCCTCCTCTTCTTCCTCTTTGTGTTTATTTTTCCAGTAAAACAGTGCCACAGCCACTAAGACAATGCAGACAACTAGCACAACAGCCCCTGTGGCCACCGCTCCAGCAATCAGGCCGATGCTCCGGGGATGGGCTGTGAGGAGGATTGAACAGAGAACGGAGAAGACATCAGGACTGGGCTGTGGCCGTCCATGAGCATTTGAAGCTACCAAGGCTCGGAAGGGGGCAAAGGCAACATCCCCATTCCAGGGTACAATGATCTTCTGATAGAGAGGCACATGGTGGCTCACAGCAAACATGGTTACACGTTACTGTCACAAGACAGAACCAGGTGGCCAAGCCTCCCTTGGCAATATACTTACGTGCAATGACTTGCAGGTCCAGAAGGCAAGTGCTGGTTCCAATGGCATTTGAAGCCACGCATTGGTAAAGACCTGAGGACACAGTGCTGATATTTCGGAGAGTGACAGTGCCCTGGACTTGGTCTAGTCAGAGAGAAAAGAAGGATTTAAATCCCTCCCCCCCCCCTTCACAAAAGCCATGAAAAGGTAAATCCAGCAAATAGAGAATTGTGGTGTGAGACTCTTAAGAGATAAATAAATTAGGAAATAACCTTGAGATGGAAGCATTGTGCGTACACACACAAGATTAGGTTTTAAGAAGCTTACACTAGATGTTTCTTTTTCTTCTTATAGATGAGTTTCTGCAAATTAAAGCTTGGGACTCATATCATTGTGCACAAGAAGGGAGGAAATAAGAGATATGCAATGCCCTATCCTCATATCTACTTGCCAAATTTAGTCCTGCCTTGCAGCGCCTCTGCTCTCCCATCCCTGGGCTTTGCACCGCCTGCTCTGCCAATTGTCCTCTCTCCTGAATTATCTAGAACTAAAATTCTTATATATTCTTAAAATAGGACAATTTAAAGGGGAAGAGTACAATTTTCACTATTTGGTCAGGTCACCTAGGCTAAGAAATCTGATGGTTAGGACTTGGGGCTGGCCAATACCCAGTCTGATTAGAGCCTTGCTTTTACACACATCTGAAAGGCAGCTCCAGCAGCAACATACTGGAGCAGCGACCTCAGTGTGAAAAGATGGCAGGATTTTTGGGGGAAGATTTTGCCTTCCTTCTCCCATTTTCCAATCTGTGAGTCTTTTGTTTGGTTTGAAACGCAGCTGAGTCAGCAGCTGGTATCTCCAGCCATGTGTGAACATCCGGCCACTATGTTCTCTCTCCCATTTGACCAGACTCTTGCTCCTCAATGGGGAACATATTTCTCTATCAAAAAACATGGAAGTTTAAATGGCCATTATAGGGTACCTAGTCCACCACAGGCTCCAGGCACTCCAGGAATCTTCGTTCCAAACAAGTGACCATGCAAATGATGGTAGACACTCAATGAGCTGTGTCACCTCTGACAGCTCAGACAAAGGAAAGCCCAGGCTGCCACCTGGGAAATAAAAGGAAAATCAACAGAATGAGCACCTTGTGTGGCAGTTGGGGGCAACTTGGGAACATTGTCCAGCTTCTCCCAGAGGTATGTTGGCCGGGGGATGCCTTCTTCCGAGCTGCAGGTCAGTGTGATATCGCTGCCCACGTCCAGGGACCCCTGGATTCTGCAGAGCGGGGCAGAAGGAGGAACTACAATGAGAGAAGAGGGGAAAGTGACAGCAGATCAGGAGATACGACCAAACAGTGAGGTGCAGCTCTTTTCTGAACACAGACTGCTGGGGAAAGCAAGGATGTTGGCATGAGCTGAAGGGAGATAAGAGGGAGACAAAACCCAAAAAGGAAGCAGCAGACAAGAGCCATCTAAAGTTTGGGTGGTGTCACTTCACAAAGATTCCTGACTAGCCAGTCCATCAAGGTTGCGGACTATTGCTGACTTGTTCAGACCCACTTCTCTTAGACCCCTCCCTAGAGAAAGAGAAAGTGAACATTTCTGTGTTTAGGACAGCAAGGTTTGCATGACCTAACCAAGCTGCAAACAGAATTTGCTGTGGTTGGGTTTTGCTTTCATAGCTCCATAATGGCACATACTGTGGAGTATTTAACATCCCGGGGAACATCCAAAATTAATTGCTTACAGGAAAAGGAAGCAAAGACCTAAAGTCCATTCTTTTCTCCCGTTGCTATGCACAAAACTCTTATGGTCCCCTTAGCACTCCAAGATGCCCTCACACCTTATTCATGCTTCTCTGCAATTCCACATCACAATCCTGCATCAAAAGCTTTCTCTCCACTGTATTTTACAGCTCCATAATATACCATCTGTATATAAGGGTACATGCCCCACAAACTCCCACAATACCCACAAGGCAACCCACCCCCCTCCTCTGTATATCCATGTGCTCCAATACACATGCCACCATGTCCCTCTGCTAGGCACCATCATGCACAGAACATCCCTTTGCCCCTCTTCCTCCCCTGTCCCCCATAACTCCAATATACGCACCCAAGACAGTGAGTCCAATGACTCCAATATTCCTGCCACCTCGGTCGGGAAGATTGTTGACCAAACACTGGTACGTGCCAGTATCTGACAGCTGTGTGTTGTTGATGAAGATGGAGGCACTGGTGGTTGGCATTGTCACAGCAAACCCCACTCGCCCATAGAACTGGGGTGCACCACCAAAGATCTGACCCCCTTGGTAGAGAATAACCTGGAAGGGAAAGGAAGGTTCAAACAACGCTCCACAAGGGCTGAGCAAGGAGAGAGAACAGCAAGCAAAACATGGGCTTCCAAACCTGAAAGAACCAGTTCCTGGGGAACGTCTGAATAACCAGACATCAATATAGAACAGTAGCCTTAGGCAGTCACATCCTAGGAGAGGTATTTTCTTTAAAAAATAGCCAGTAGCCTGTTTTATGTCAGTAAAAACCATCACAGACGCAACAGACCACACAGATAGATGCCCAAGTCTTCCGGCATCACTGGTTTTGGCAATATCAGCCTGTTTCATGTAATAGTAGTTATCTATCTGGACAGGATTGATGTAGAGAGGCAGAGACTCTCCTCAGGTCTGTGAGTAGTCTTCTGGAAAGCATCCACCCAGCGGACAGTATCATCTTGGCTCTCAGCCAGTAATATCCTGCCACGATTTGACACTGCTTGCTGAAGATCACTGGGATGAACTGAAAGACAGGTAATACAACCCCCGAACCTGTGTAACCTCTACCAACCAGACAGCTTACACGGAGGTACTCAGACCAAGTCTCTGAGGAGCAAGTACTCTTCAGTGAGAGATATTGGATCTCACAACTGAATAGCAAATGTGATGGGTGCAGGGTGACCTGAGACAGATGTGTTTCAGAGCAATGGCTTTCTTCTGCTCTCTGAGTATGCACACAGAAAGAAGGCCAGCAGCTCTCAGGTTACGATTCCAGTACCCACCATAGTAGTCCCTCATTTCCTAATGTTCTTAAGAATGACCTTTCATAAGCAACAAGCAGTCAATATTTAAGAGGGGAGATTAGACAATAATAAAGCATGCATTCTGGGAGGTGTTTGCACAAATTTCACAGGTTTAAGGGGTCGAGCCAGCAGATGCTTCCATATCCTCCAAATCCTATTTCCAGTGCACCAAAAGCTTGATTACCTCTCCAGTGCTACTTTGAGCAAACCAATCACCAGAGTTCCAGAGCAGCCATACAGCCTCCCATACACCTGCCCAACCACACATCCAAACAAGGAGCTGAGGATACAGTCTGCACTACCAATTAAGAAAGCACTGGGAAATCAGACTCATGTAAGATGTGCAGGGCATGTTCAGCAATAAAAGGAATGTGCTGGGAACCACAAGCTCAGCATTGTACAAGGACTACACCTCGATCTGTGACAAAAGGGTGAGGGGAAAAAACAAAACAAAACAAAACCTCCATGTGCCAGTGAGAAAGGACCTACCTGTTCCGGCTGGTTGGCGTTAGAGAGAGGAATGACCATCCAGATAACATTAAGGTTAGTGAGAGCAGCATTTGTGGTGAAGGTGCAGGGCAATACTGCTGTCTGGCCCCGGGCAACCTGGATGCTCCCTGAACTGACTGACACCTCTAGAGGACATACCAGACCTGGAAAGAGAAGAACACCCTGTTCAAGCATTTCAGGTGGCCCCATGCACATGCAGTTCATGACAGCAGCATCCTGTTGTTACAAAACTGTCCCTTATCAACAACTTCAGGCTAAAAAGATATACATTGCTCCCTCAGAAAGATCAGGCTGCTCTCGTGCAGACCCTTTCCAAAGGCAAATGTGGACAGGCTGCCCTTTTAAGTAAGATCACTCTAATTTCAGACCCGCTGAAAACAGCAAGATTTGTTTTAGAGACAAGGAACGAGCTATAAGAGCAGCCAAGCTGTGTCTAAGGGATAATGAAATATGTTTGAAATATGTTTTTGAACCCATTACTCTTAATGATACCCAGCATCACTGAAATAGAAAAGGAAACTGTATTCTGAAAATCTTCACCACAGGGTAAGAAGAGAAAATGCATATTTTTAAAGAAGGCACCCAGTTCTACCTCTAAGTCTAGCGTGAACAGGAACATTTTCATGCTTTTTTCAATTTAAAGGGTCAAAAATCTAAATCTTTCCTACTCCACATATTTCGTTATAGCTGGTAAAAAATGGCTACTGATATTAGTAGATCTGATCAAATCTAATTTATTTTCCAGCATTTCTGCCATTCGCTTCTTTGCATTGCACACAGGCTGGACAGGGTACAAAGCCTGATAAGTCCCAGCTTGCCAGTGCAGCAGCTCAAGGTTGCAATGTCTAGACTGCAAGTCGCACAGGGAAATATCTCAGCTCCTACAGCCAAAATCTTGTCAAATGGCACTAACCAAGGAGTTACCAACACCATTTTGAGTAGCACCAAAATTCCCTAAACCACTTTCCCCCACAACATCAAAATGTTGACTCCAGACACCTCTCTACATGCCAGTTCACTGCTTTCTTGTTCAATGCATGCGGGAGGCTACTGGAAGAGATGGCCAGGAGACACTGGTTTGTTGAAGGTGAAGTGCTCCATGAAAACAGGTTTCTAGCTGAACTATGAAGAAATTGAATAGGCTTGTTTTTGAGAAAAAGCTGAGTGATCTGCATGCTTGTCTGCTGGGATCCTTCTCAGCCTGCCTAATGGCACCTAAGCTGCTTATGCTGAGTTCTTGCGCTTGCATAGACTGCTCTGGAGCTGGGATACCCAAGAACCTTGCAGATCCTCAGCAACCTGCTCCGAATTTCCTAGCTCTCTCCCCTCCTCCCTATGCCCCGCCTGCCTTGCAGGCTTCAAGGTTCCAGGTAGTTTGGGGAAGCTCAGGAATGCTTCAAAATAGAGCCAAACAAAATGTCACTTTTAATCTCTCTGAGTGAAAGGCGTGAGTTTTTTACTTTGCAGAAAAACCCAAATCAGACTGTACTCTCACATTTGGAACTCATTTGAAAATATTATACATTTTGGAACTTTCCAGGGAAATAGTTCAGCTTTCATCCTAATATCTGAGAGAATTAGGTGCCTGGAGAAAGAACAGCTGGTGAAAGCTTAATCCATCAATCTCCTATGAGGGGCTGTCAGCAGCAAGCGGAAGTAAATAATTTGAAGGGCCAGTAATAAGCATGACCTTTATTATAAGGCATGTGCCTTTCAGTTGCTACTGCAGTTGGCAGGTTGGGAGTAGTTTTGGACTCCTAATTTGCTTATGGCTGCCTAAGCAGTGGCAATAGATGAAAAAACAGAAGTGATCCTTTAGAGATGGCTCTTACTGAATATGACCCTTATGAGGGGTTGTCTTTTCTGCAGGCCTACCTCTGAAAGCTATGTTGGCATGACTACTCCGCCAGCCTACCACCACCCATGTGCTAAACTGTGCGAAGTGAGTCACAATAATTTGGGCATGTCTTGGATTAAGCTCTACCTTTAATATGGAGCAGACAGTTCTTCTGAGATGTTCAGTGTTGGTTCAATGACTCCTTAGACTTGTCTTTGCCATATACATCCCATGAGATGAAAACCAGCCCTCCAACTATTCATCAGACTTGGAATAGCAGCAACCATTCTTCAGCCCCATCTCCTCAAACCTCCAGGTTCCCCTCCAAGAAACACCCACCCATCACCCTCTTGCCCTTCAAGAAAAGTGATACTTAAGTGTGAATATTCATTACTAGCAACTTTGCTGGAAATCTGGTGTTTGCGTTTTGCACTGCAGGATTAGTTATGTCAGTCACTCAGACATCAAGATGATGTGATTTTCATACCTAACTACCCTGTCATTACTCTTAATATTTGCTATTAGTTGACTGTAAACATCCCGCTGAATAATAAAAATACAAAAATAGAACATGCATAATTAGTTCACTGTGAAAATGATTTTCGATACTTTTGAGAATTTTCCACTATGCTTATGAACAACTGTAAAAAATGAAAGAGAACATGTAACACCCCCCCCTCACTCTAGAAGTGAGCCTAGCTCGGAAAAACATACATTCAAGAGAGAAAAACTGATCACAGCACTGTTATTAACTAAAATAACCATGAAAGAGATGTTTGCCCCGAAAGCAAGTGCAGGAACAGGGCTCTTTCTGTCACTCCCCTTATGATCCCACTCAGCTCTGCCAGTGCCCCACTCTTGCCCTGCAGTCTTGCCCTGCTCTCCTGGCCCCATAATGTCTTCCCCCTTTCAAAGCACCACAGCATCCCTCTTAATTTGAATGTCATGGAGTGGTTTCTGTGAGGGGATACCAAGAAAGAGCTGAGTTCCCCAGCCACTTCTCTTGCCGAGGGAGCAGCACTGAGCCTGGGCCTGCAGGACGAGCTCCCCTCACCCCATGCCATCCTCTCTCTCCCTTGTTAAACCACGGGGCAAGCCAGCTCCTTAGACTTGCCTTTTTGCCACATGCATCCCAGTGCCTGTCAGCTGCTCTTTGGCCTGGGATGCCCATGAGGCAAGCTGCACTTAAAGACAAGGACTCATTTTGCTAAGCTAAGTGGCACCTGCAGGGCTACAGCTGGGGAAAACACAACCGCTTCTGACAAATAAGCTTAACCAAGATGACAGGGGAGCTGGGAGACCAAACGCAGGCAAAGTCCTTCTCCACCAGCATAAATAGGCTGGTCTGTTAACACAGCACTGGGAATGGGGGACCGGGCAGGGGGGCATTACTACAGTGCAACTCCTTTCCCAGGGAGATGGCTGAAAGAGCAAAGAGCAAATCCTCTTCACAGGCTGCAGCCCCACTTCTTTACACCTCAGACTACCAGAAAATGTTGTAATGTGGTTACACATGCACATGTCCACCTATGCAAGGATTTATGCGACTGCATCCTTACACACCAATACTCATGTCCCAAAACACAGGTGGATGCACGCAAAGATGCACACACATATAAGCCCGTATGCCCAGGAAAACAAAGAATAGGAAAACTCAGCCAAACGTTACTTGTTTAAATATCTCAAAATGAGGAGTTGGAAAAATGTGGCTTTGCATTAATGCGAAAGGAGGGAGGCAGGGGAGAAAGGGAGGAAGCGATTTCAAATTTAGCATAACTACTGGGATAAGGATTTTTCAGTGCAGCCTAAGGAATGAGGACTTGAATCCCCTTGGGTACATACAAATGCAAATATAGATATATTCATACACACACATCCCAGCCTAGTAAGTCAAATTACACATAAGAGGTCAGAAAATCAAGCAAAGGATATAATATAGGCCCTCCTTTTGCACAGGTACACAGTCGAGAACTTTTCTAAGCATTCAGAGACATTTACTGACTTGTGAGAGGCAACAAGAATCAAGCATGGTGTAATCTCCTCCTAGCTTAAGATTACAGTGGCCACTACACCCTTTCCTGTAGGCACAGTCTCCTCCTCACTTAAGATGCTTAGTTAAGCTTCGGTGTAAGCAGCATGCCTGGAGCTAGAGTGGGGTACACCACTGTCAGCAGGAGGAGGAATGGGCCCTCCCTGTACGTAGGACTCTTTGATCTTAGATTGATTCTGCAAGTGGCTTTCTCTTTTGATCCTGATGCAGCAAGCATCCATCAATAATAGAAGAGATGCTCCATTTTTGTGTCCCTCTCTCAAGGAACCAGCCAGCAGAACGATGTTTCGGCTACAGAGGCTCTTTTAAAGGTTCTCTACATTCCCAGGACCAAGGAAGCACTTTGGCAACGCATCACTCATTTAATTTCTGATGGGACGCTCTTGGCTTTCCAAGTAGCCCACTCAGCTACCTCCAGCAGCCATGAAGGAGCCAATGCAGAGAGCTCATACAGCAAGGCACAAGCATGTAGGGCCTAGCCCCCTACCTGGCATCTGCCTCCCTGCTGACACTGGCATGAGGTGCAGGCAGATGCCGCTACTTATTTGTTAGCTCCCCCACAAGGGTGCAACGCTGATTGAACCCTTCATTGTGTCTGGTATATTCTGAAGCCTAAGGCATGGCACATCTTAGCATTTTGTTTCTTACTAAGAAGACTGAAAATGCTTCTAGCTCCTGCTCACTGTCACACCTCTCTGCCAGAGATCACCAGCAGGACCAGTAAATTGCCTCGGCTGATAGCCCAGTCAACAAAATGAGGACCTCAGTCAACATCAGTTCACATTAATGTGGCAGACTACCACATGAACAGCTGATGCAGAACTACCAGTCCATATCACTGCAATGGCAGGTGGTCACAGACCACAGGCTCAGGAGGCTGCTGTGGGCTGTGCCTTCATGAAGCACTGTAGCTATGCTGTTGAAGCTATGCTAAGGGCACATCCCCTCTTCTTCCGTGATCATCCCCAGCGCATGATTGTCAGCAGGGACCATGTGAACCACAGCTCAGAGACATCTCTGGGTACCACTGGCTGGGCTAGGGTACAGCACAGAGAGAGGGTCTTCACAAGGCTGTACTTGGCTTAGTGGTGTCGACCATAGAAAAGCAGAGGTTTCTTTGGAGAGCCATTCATACCATCAGGCTCTTGCACTGACTTACCTTCTCGAAGACTCCCTCTACTTTGCAGGTCTCCCTACAACCATTGGCAAGTCAGCAGCATTCAGCACTTGCTAGCCATGATCTCCTGACACTCACG